TTAATGACATAAGTTCTTTAGAATATGTTTATAGAGTTATGAGCATATATGATTTAATATATCCTATAGGAGCTGTTTATACGTCTATGAATCCAATAAATCCAAACACTTTATTTGGTGGTAGATGGTATGAAATAGTTGACAGTTTTCCATTCTACACTAATACGCAGTCAATGAAGATGGGAGGTTCAAAGAAAATAGGTATTGAAAACCTTCCTTCACATATGCATAGGTTCAGTGGAAGAACATCTGTGGAAGGAAACCATTCACATTCAATAACAAAAAGAGGTTATATAAATCTTGCAGCGGGTTCGAATAGACAGGGAATGAACAGATATGATATCTCAGATGACCCAAAGATGTTAGCACAGGTATTTTCTGTGGAACTGCAGGAAATCATACACATGTTGTAGCTGGTATTACAGACCCAGCAGGTAATGGAAAAGATTATATGCCTCCTTATATAACAATGCACGCTTGGATACGAGTTGGTTAAACTCTTTAACTTTACATAAATGAGCTTGAAAGAAGTATTCGAACAACATCCATGGAGGTCATTTAAGAATTCAATGAAGCTGCAAAGAGTTGGGGATTTACTAACAGAGCTGAAGTGAAAAGGTTCTTTGACAAAAATGTTGTACATCAAACAAAAATAAACCCTTACGACTACTTTTTACCAATTTACTCCAACACTCCTGACGCATACCAATTTGACACTCTCATTCAAAGCAGAAAAGGAGGACATAAACCATTCCTCATCTTCATTAATGTTAACACTCGTAAAGCATATGCATATCCAATGAAAAATAAAGGAACTCGTGAAGTGTTAAGAGTTTTACAAAAGTTTGTAGCAGAACACAGCCCAAGTACTTTAACATCAGACCAAGACAGTGCATATCTCAGCAATGAAATCACAGATTTTCTCATTAAGCATAACATAACTCACTACACTACTGAAGACCATAACCATAACATACTCGGCATCATAAACCGCTTCATAAGAACGCTTAGAGATTTAAATCAAGAGCGAGACTTTACCGAAGAAACAATGAAACATTTTGTCGAAGTATATAATTCCTCAACACATTCTACAACAGGACATTACACCAAATTCAATGACACAACAACAAGAAAAAAGTATATACAAAAGAAACGAAGCCAAACACAAAATATCAGAAATTCAACACAATTTTACCCTCATTCCTGGTACAAAAGTTCGTGTAGTTCTTGACGACAACCGTTGACAAAGAAACGTTTAAGGTTAAGTAGAAACTATTATATCGTAGACTCTACGCAAGTAATGGATATCTTATAAAAGCTGCTGACGACTCTATTGCTTTTATCCTCGACATAAATTAGTCGAAAGTAGTAATGGCAAACTTGCTGAAACCATTGACAAGCAAAAGCGAGGAGTGGTTATTGAAATACTTGGCTATAACATAAACGATGACACTTATAAAGTAAGATATGAAGGAGGCGTTGAAGATGTTATACCATCTAAGAACTTGAGAGAGTCAAAGACACACATCTGGGACCATTAGAGCGGGAGTACTGGAAAGACAAAAAATATGCCAGAAAGAATAAGAAAATTCTTCTAAACTTTTTCATTAGATGTAAATCAGACAAAAATAATGTTTAGGTTGAAGAGGTGAGATTTCACCTCTTTTTTCACCTGTTTTTTCACCCTCGTGAATTTTCATGAATTTCCTTAAGATAGAAAAATAAAGTTAGTTTTATTTTTATTTATTTTTTTTTATTTTGTATGTAAGAACAGAAATGTCAATCGAAGCAAAAACATTCACTAACAAATATAATGGCGAAACATTCACAAAAGGCACTTATAACGGTATTGAAGTCTTACGTAGAGACAAGGATGGTTACATTAAATGCAACAAAGATGGCAAGAGAAGCAGGAAAGTTAAACCATTTAAACAGATTTCTCAATAGTACTAAAATGCAGGAAATTCTTGAGTTTTGGTTGAAAGAATACGGTGGAGCCAAAAGTGGCTCAACCTCAAAACAAGCATTTTATGAGCTTGCTAAGGGCGTTATAAATGAATTCAAAGGTATTTACATACATCCTGACCTCGTTCATTTTGTTGCTGAATGGTGCTCTGTAAAGTATGCATTTTATGTCAAAGATATTATGGACTCCATAGACAAGAAAGTTCATGAGAAATTAGATGAAGAAGAACTCGAAGATACAGTAGAGAATGCTAAACCTTTGTTTGAAGAAGAAGTTGAAAAAATGCGCGAAAAACAATTAGAACATGAACGTGAGATATGTTATGGTTATAGAGATTCCCCATATGAACTAGACCAATGGGAACGAGAAGATTTAAAGAGAGAATTTAGAGAATATGAACTCGCTAAGATAGCATTTGAAGCTGCAGAAAAGAAGTTAAAAGTTTGGGGTCCTTTTGTACAAAAATATTGTGAGTAAATGAACTCATTATTTTTGCTGAATTCAGCACAAAATTCTGAGTAAAATGACATATGGCACGTGTCAAACCGTTGAGTTTTCACAAATTTTAAAAATTGCTGCGGAAAGTTCGTCAAAAAAGTGAAGGTTCCCGACGGTTTCAAACCGCCATACTTTACATGAAGATAGTTTACAATGTCAACTAAATATCATGTACGATAGAAACGGTTATGTAAAGTTTACATTTTGTAAAGTTTTGTCCTGATTCAAGACAAGTCTTGTATTTTTTCAGAACAAGTCTTGTATTTTTTCAAGACAAATCTTGTCCTGATTCAGAACAAGACTTGCACTTTTTAGTCAGTTTTTCTTGTAAAGTTCTCAAATTTGAGAACAATTGTCCTGATTCAAGACAAGTCTTGTATTTTTTCAGAACAAGTCTTGTATTTTTTGAAAAAACCAGAATTTTCGAAAAAGTGACACCAACTATTAAAGTTATTTTATTACTAGATTTATTTACAAATTATAAGATAATATCATTAACCGAATATATTTTTAATATAAATAAAAAACTTTTTTTTATACAAAAAATTACAATCAATCGATAAATATTATAAAACATTTATTCCAAAAAGATTAAGTAATAGGTGGGATCCTGCATAAAATATAATTTTATGTCATAAAGTTTACAAATTTTAGATGGACCACAGTGAGAATGTGAGTGGTTAATTTAAAGGTGGTCTGATAAAGATATCGAAGCTTACTCAACACAGCATGAAGCAGTTTCTAATACACAATCTTACTAGTGGTGTTTCGGTCGCCAGCGCTCTCATAGGGGTGCTGATTTCAAAAACCACTACTTCAAATTATTCAACAATACTCAATGCAGCATGAAGCAGCTACTACTGCTGTATCTTACTGGTAGTGTTTTGGTCGTTGGCTCTTGCACAGTCTCTCAGATTTTCAATTTTTTTTTCAACACTATCTTGTTTCGCTCTCAGAAAGCTATCCTACAAAGACATCGAAGCTTACTCAACACAGCATGAAGCAGTTTCTAATACACAATCTTACTAGTTGTGTTTCGTCGCCAGCGCTCTCATAGGGTGCTGATTTCAAAAACCACTACTTCAAATTATTCAACAATACTCAATGCAGCATGAAGCAGCTACTACTGCTGTATCTTACTGGTAGTGTTTTGGTCGTTGGCTCTTGCACAGTCTCTCAGATTTTCAAAATTTTTTTTTCAACACTATCTTGTTTCGCTCTCAGAAAGCTATCCTACAAAGACATCGAAGCTTACTCAACACAGCATGAAGCAGTTTCTAATACACAATCTTACTAGTGGTGTTTCGGTCGCCAGCGCTCTCATAGGGGTGCTGATTTCAAAAACCACTACTTCAAATTATTCAACGATACTCAATGCAGCATGAAGCAGCTACTACTGCTGTATCTTACTGGTACTGTTCTTCGTTCTTACTATCAACTCTAAAACTAGTTTGATGTATTATTTATTCATATATAAATATATACATATATAAATATATACATATATAAATATATACATATATATATATACATATATAAATATATACATATATAAATATACATATATATAAATATATACATATATAAATATATACATATATAAATATATACATATATAAATATATACATATATAAATATATACATATATAAATATACATATATATAAATATACATATATATAAATATACATATATATAAATATACATATATATAAATATACATATATATAAATATACATATATATAAATATATAAATAACAAAATACAATCAAAAAATAGTGTTTGGAAATTTAAGGTTAAGTGTCACTTTTTCGTAAATTCTACCACACTCGTAAAGTTCTCAAATTTGAGAACAATTGTCCTGATTCAAGACAAGTCTTGTATTTTTTCAGAACAAGTCTTGTATTTTTTCAAGACAAATCTTGTCCTGATTCAAGACAAGTCTTGCACTTTTTCAGGAAATCATATCGTCCAACTTTACAAATGTCACTTTTTCAGCATGATTGCATTTTGGTCGGGGGACAACTTTCTCTCAATTTGTCACTTTTTCTATCGTCGTGTTTTGTCACTTTTCCTTCAGGGTGTGTGTCAGAAAATATCCAAAATCTTTATAGCCTCGTATCTCCTTCAATTCTTGACGGTTTGACATGTATGACACACCATTCAATTCAGAATTATCTGCTGAATCTTATGACCTTCATTTGTTCGTGACTTCTTTTCACATATGTAACCATGAATTTTTAACATTTCTTTATCACAGAAAATAAAGTTAGTTTTATTTTTATTTATTTTTTTATTTTGTATGTAAAGACAGTAATGTCAACATCAGAGAACACAACAACAGTTATAGTCCATGAAGCCATTAATGAAGAATACGAGTACATACAGTATAACAAACAGTTACGTCTCATTCGTTCAGTCAAAGATGACATGTACCAAATGCAAAGTATAATGAATGCTCTTCGTTCTACAAAGCAAGCATATCATTGGTTTGAAAACCAACAGACAAAAGAACTTTTAGAAGAATTTCCTCATATGATTGCTTCCCTCGGAAAACCGAGAGAAGAGATTCCGTACGAAAATCGCAAGAATTTGGCTCCTGGTTTGAAAGGTTATTATGTTCATAGACTTTTAGTAAACGCTGTAGCAATGTGGGCTTCACCTCGTTATGCTTGTTATATTTTCATGATGTTAGATGAACTATATAAAGCAGAACGTGGAGAGATGGAAAAGAAACTTCAAGCAAAAGATGAAGTCATTGAATCCAAAGACAAAAGCATACAGAAAAGAATACCGCGTTCAGTACCAAAAGGAAAGGAAAAGAGTTATAAGTATATGATATATACTGAAGAGTTGGAGAAAGAAGAAGACAGAGATATGGTTATGTTGCATTTAGTCAGAAGAAACAACAAAAGCTTTTATGACCTTGCTAAGATTTACAAATCTGACAGAAACTGGTTCTATCGTGAAAACTTACCAATTTCAATGACACTGAATGAGCAAATAAAGGAAATTGTCAAAAATACTCTTCCTCAAACACACTATGACATCAAAGGTTGCACAATACTTACATTCAAAGAAGACTTAACATTACTGAAGGAAAAAATAACAGAATATTTCGATAACTTCAAAGAGGAAGAATAAAAAAATCTAAGCTAATTTTATTTTTTTATAAAATTTTATCTCATATGAAAGAACATGAATTTAGAATATTCGGAACTCATGACAGAAGAAGAGAACGAACAACATGTAAAAGATTATGCAAAATTTCTGAAGACATACAAAGCATTTAAACAATATCTAAATGCTTCTAAAGATTATGCAAAATTTCTGAAGGTATATAAAGCTTATGAAAAAGCGTATGAAAAGTTTATACATTGGGGAATTGTTGTAAAATATCGATATGAAGACTAACCAAAAATATATTTTTGCTTAAATGACGTCAGGGTCAATTTCTTCAACCATTTCACTTCCTTCGTCAATGTCAATAGAAGCTTCTTCAACCTTTGGTAGGAGCTTCTGTATAACATCTTTGTTCGTTATTGTCTTCAGAGATGAAGGATAATATTTCACATTTGTTTCACCTTTCTTATATTCTTTCTGCTGCGATAAATCTAAAACAATACTGAAGAAGTCAATATTAGAGTTCTTTATAACAGTATAATGAGTATCTTTGACATTCACGAAGAAACTCTTTTGTTTCAAAACTACTGCTAACTCTTGTGAAGTATAACGTTTGCGGTCAATGACGATAGCTAATGGTCTGACATACTGACCAAACTTAGATTCTTTCACAAACTTCTTGTTAAAGATAACATTAACATTTGAAGCATTATTGAACTCATTCTTGATGGCAGTAGCGAGAGCATTGTATGAAAAGAACTTGCAATCTTGCATGTGTTTCATTAAAATAAAAATATTAAATTATTTTGAAAAATAACTTAAAAAAATCTAATCTAATTTTTTCAAAAAATATTTTTTTATTTCCTACTAAAGATGTATCGGAAGTTGTCTAAGTTAGAACACTCGGAAATAAAACAACTTCTTACAGAAGCTAATATAGATGTTGCAAAGCATTACGCAACAAACAAAAAAGCACTCGCTGACATCCTCAATGACTATAATGGTGCAATAAGTTATGATAGAATTCATGAGTTCATAAAGCCGCAACGCGGCGAGGACGAAGTCCATGCAATAGCATTTCCTTTAAATGACGTTGCTATTGACTTATATCATAGACGTTCAGTACCTCATGAAGTAAGAAGAGAAATGTTTGACATAACAAATGCAAACGTTGGTGAAACAAGAAGAAGAGACGACACACTGAAACAACAGAGAAGAGAGATGTTTAAGAGCGCTATAGAACAAGTTCGCAAAGCTAACGATGTCATTCGTTCCATTGACGACAAACCAAAAGAAGGTGAGAGATGGTTAAAGAAAGATGAAGAGAATAGGAAGAGGAATGAAGACAGGCAATAGACTCATTGACTTTAACATCGAAGCTTTAGATGAACCAAACAGAGACTACTTACACAAACATTTCGGTAAGGTTTTCATGAGACTCTTAGAGAAAATTAAAATAAAACTCACAACAGAGATGGATGGTATGTTATAAACTTGGTGGAAAGTATGAATGTTCTACGTTAAACCTCAATAATATTGGAACATTACTACATCAGCTCTTGAAGGAGAACTTTATATCAGAGATAGAAGCAAATGCTGCAGGTATTGTTGAAATGCACTATGACTTCTTCTTGACAAACATAAAGAATCTTACCGAAATAAAGATGTATGATTTAACAGAATATGAAGGCTTAACGATGTCAGATGTAAAGAAAGGCAAACCAAAAAAGAGACCATATAGAGATGAAAGCACACTGACAAATGACCAGAAAGCCATTTTGGAAGCTCTTAAGCAAACAGGAAACCCAGCACTTATAGAAAGCTTTGGAAAGATAATGGTGTGAAAAGAAGTTTTATAAGAAGAGAAGCGGTCAGTTCTGGAAGTATCTTTGCACATTACCTATAAATCTTGAACGCTACCAAATTTTCAATGAATTGAACAAAAGAACTGCAACACTTATGACAGAAGACAATTGTTTCGTTTATGCTTGCATTCAGGCTGGAGTAGATGGAAAGACTATTGACCACATGAGAGAAGTCATTCGTGTTAGAGACTTTCCTCAAAGTAAAGTACAAGAAATTTCTGACGCAACAGGTATAGCATTTAATGTTACCATTGGTTATTTCAATGACTCAAGACATAATGAAATAAAGAGATATATACCAAAAGAATGTGAAACTGTTAGAACTATTGACTTACTTCTTGTTGAAGACCACTACATGCTAAACGAAAGATTACCAATGACAACATATTTCATTCGCAACTATATAGAAATTCTCAAAGCTTGTGGTGGAATGAACATTGAGAAACAAATGAAGATTTATACAAAGAGAGAAGATAAATATGTAGTTCGTTATGATAGAACAACACCGTTATGGGATGTTATGAAAACATTGTGGGAGTGCAAATATTTCGAACCTATTTCTTATGGAGAACTTTTCACATATACTACTGACTTATATAAACAGAACATTGCACCATTTAAAGATTTGACATATGCTCCAAAGTATTGTGTACAACTGAAGAAGAAAGCCGAGTCAAAAGAAGTAAATAAAAATAAGTGCAAGTTCATTCCTGAGCACGTTTTCTTTGCTGACTTTGAGTGTAGTACAGACGGCTTTCATAAAGCTTTTAACATATGTTACGACAGTGAAGATGGTTCAGTGAGTGAAAGCATTTGGGGTCAGAACTGTGCAACAGAATTTTTGGAGCGACTTCCTGACAAGAGTTTAATATATTTCCATAACCTCAGTTATGATATAAACTTCATCTTAAGACACATGACAGAAGTGAAAGGAACTCCCATCATTAAAGGTTCACGAACAATGCAAATAACTGGCTTATATAAAGGAAGGGCAATTATTATAAAAGACTCTTACAGTGTTATAAATAAGAAGCTTAAACTATTTCCTGCTATGTTTAACTTACAAACAGGACCGAAAGAAGTATTTCCATATAACTACTACAGCAGTGTTTTGTTAGCAAATGACAACAGAACTGGTGTCATTTCTGAAGCATGTAAGTTTATCCGGGATGCAGATACATTCATGAAAAACATAGATTCCATCAAAGGTTGCAGAATAGATGAGAACCACTTCGACTTAGAAAAGTATAGCACATTTTATTGCAAACAAGATGTAAGAATTTTAAGAGAAGGTTTTGTTAAGTTCCGCAATGACATATTGAAAGAATTTGATTTAAACGTTTATGACTACGTTAGTATTTGTTCAATTGCTAACAAATTATTTGAGAACAGAGTGTACTTCCCGAATGGAAATTTATATGACCTCTCAAATAAACCAAGAGAATTTATTTCGAGATGCATTCAAGGTGGAAGATGTATGTTGTCAGATAACATTAAACAAAAGAGTAAAGAGAAACTCATTGCTGATTTCGACGCTGTTTCATTATATCCATCAGCTATAGCAAGACTTTATACTTTAGAAGGTATTCCAAAGGTTATGAAGAAAGAAATGTTAAGCACAGAGTATCTCATGAGACATTTATTCGATGACGACCAAAAGGAACCCATTGGTGAAAAGTTTATGTCTGGCTTCTTTGTTCTCATTAAGATAACAGAGATTGGAATACATAGACACTTTCCTTTAATAGTTTGTGACCCTGAACTAAATCCAGAACTTAACGTTCCCAGAAGTTCAAACACTTGCTGTTTAATGTATGTTGACCATATAACATTACAAGACCTCATAAAATATCAAGGTGTCAAATGTGAAGTGTTGCAAGGATACTATTACGATGGAAACAGAGATATTAGAATAAGAGATGAAGTAAAGAAGTTGTTTGAGTTAAGGTTAAAGTATAAGAAAGAAGGAAATCCTTTGCAAGAAAATATAAAGCTCATTCTGAACAGTATTTATGGCAAAACTATTCTATCTCCTATTGAGTCAAAAATAACCATAGTAGATGACAAAGATGCTATAAGATATGCCATCAGAAACTACAACCATATAGTGAAGTTCGAAGGTTTGGATGGTTCAGATAAAACTATTTTCAAGCTAACGAAAAGCATTTGCAGACACTTTAACTTCTGTCCACTTGGTGTTAACATTCTGTCTATGTCGAAGAGAATAATGTGTGAAGTATTCTGTACTGCTGAGGACTTAGGAATGGACATCTTTTATAGCGATACGGACAGTATGCATCTCTACAATGAAGATATCCCTCGTTTAGCTGAAGAGTTTGAGAAACGTTATGGAAGAGTTCTCATTGGTAAAAACCTTGGTCAATTTCATAGCGACTTTGCAGAAATCACACCTGGAAAACAAAGTTTAGCATACAAGTCAATATTTTGTGGAAAGAAGACTTACATAGACTTACTCACGAACGATTTAAATGAAGTTGCATTTCACTGCAGAATGAAAGGCGTGAAGCAAGATGTTATTGCTTTAACCGCTAATGAAATGTTTCCTGACTCTGTTCAGTGTTTCTATGATGAAGATAAAGGTTTAATGGTTCCGCAAGGAAAATTTGACAAAGACTCTGAGTTCAGTGTTATGAAGTTATATAAAGCACTTTATGACGGTCAAGAGATTGCATTCGACTTATGTAAGTCGTGTCAACCTTGCTTTGAAGAGAAGTTTAACTTCTCAATAACGACTAAAACAAGCTTTATTCGTAAGTTGAAGTTCTGAGGTCATTTATTTTTGTCAGCAATGAGGTCATTCGTGATAAAAATAAGCCGCTAGCGGCAAGGGCAAAGCCCATGAGGTCATTTACAATACTGCAATGGTAGAGTTTAAGAGTTGTGCTTCAATGTAGAGACAGTCCTTATGGTCTGGAGGTAAGAACACTGGGCAGTTATGGTCATGAGTGGAGAACATGTCTATCCAAAACTCACGATTGAAGCCAGTTAATTTATAGTATTTAGGATTTGGCAGTGGTGTAGTTCTTGTATGACCAATGAACTCATTTTCAACTCCCTTACTTAAGTTTGAATATAATATAGCTTGCTTTCTATCCCAAATGCCAGGTGTTACAATCTTTGAAAATTCATTTTTCCTCGGAAGCATTGCATCATAATTGAAAACATTCTTGAAATCATCACTTGGTTCAGAGATTTGAAATCTTATACGTAATGGATTTTCTTTCTCTTTAGCGACTTCATTGAATGGTGAGAATACAATAAACTGACAGTCATGTGTTCCATCTTCATTTTCATTAAATTCATAATGAAAGTCTATAAGTTGTGGCTGACTACCTTCTTCTTTCAGTTGTGCAAGAAACTCACGTAAAGGCTGTAAAGTTTGTACTTCAATGTTGAACTTTTTCTCGAACATCTCATTAAATGAAATCATACATAGTTGCAATGTTGTATCGTCTTTAAAGTATTTGTATATGTGAATGTTTTGGGCGCTTAAAGACTGTTCGTCATTTTCTATCTCGACTTGAAGTATAAAGTTAACCTTTCTGAAAGCACGTGTTATATACATAGATGTTATTGCCAATGTACTTCTCTTCATTTATGTTCACAATCCAGTCTGTTGGAAACTTAAACGTTACTCTGTTCCCCTTTATTTTGACGTCAGGGTTTCACTACTGAACGCAACAGATAAAGGTATTTGTCTATACATTTAATTCGGATAAAAATAAACCATTTACTCTTTCTTTTGCTTCAGCTTTCTTTAGCTTTTGCTTCAGCTTCTTCTCTAGCTTTCTTCGCCAGCAAACGTGGGTTCTTTTGTCTTCCAGCAGCTAATGCAGCAAGTTGTTTTTCACTAAGTTTTCTCTTTGGTCTCTCTGGCTTTTGTTCTTGTTTTTGTTCCTTCAGTTCGGATAAAATTTGCTCACGAATTTCTTTCTTCAATGCTTCAACATCTATGACCCTTGGGTCTTGTCCGTAGGCTTGTCTGAGTCATTTGACTGCAGATAAAAAACAAAATTAAAACTTTAACCGATGTAAAATGAGCTTGTCAAAATCAGAGCGAGAGTCTATTATATTAAATGACGCAAGAGGAATACAACATCCTTTCTATTATGTAAGTCAGAGTAAAGATGGTAAAATATACGTAAGAAAAAGAAAGGTTCCATTAGCGAATGCAGAAAGCGACAACATTAAGGTGTATGGCAAGGGTGAAGTCCACGAAGTCCATATTAAGCCTTCTATTCAAACTGAAAAGTCAATAGAACCAGAGAAAAAAGAAGCCAGAGTTCTTTCAATAACGAACCAAGAGCTTATTGCAAAGTTCGTGAATTTCATTGAAAACAAACCGAGTCAAAGAACCCTGACCCGCCAGTGAAAGAAGTTGAGACAAAAGAGAATGTACAGTTCATTGAAAATGTCAAGAAACAACTTCCACCACGAATACCAAGAAGAAGAGTGAGAATAATGAAGTAAATAGATATTTTTATCTGAAGTAAATACATGCAGAACGAAACAGTTAAACGAATTTACTCCAGCAGAGCATATTCATCAGATTCGCTCATATTTCGATATCATAGACAATGCAGTTCAAATTGGTGACACTAATAGAAAATATTCTGACGCAAAGATTCCATCACAACCTGGAACTGCTAAAGATAACACATGGGTAACATTCAATCTCTCACCTCCTGGTGAAAATATGTTGGACCTTTACAATACATTCATTACGTATAAAATGGAAGGTCAATTTATTGTAGATAAAGAAATTGGTTCAGGTTCCAATAAAACAAACCCACCAGGATTTTGGATTGGTTTCGATGACGCTTTCTATGCAGTTGCTGGATATCAAATCCTTGCAAATGGTCGTATCGTATATTCTCAAGACAACGCAAGAGAAGAAGCATATATAACTTCAAACTCACAAACTACCGAACAATAAAGAAAGTAGATGTTTTCTCAAAGACTCGACATGAAGATGTATGGAGTCATTCGGGAACATGCAGAACAGGACAAATTGTTAGTGGTCCAATTACAGCAGGAAAATCATTTGATTTTAAGCTTCGTTTAAAATTCCTGTTAGAAAGTTTTTCCATTAGAAGCTATTCGATTTATTCCAGCTTTTGCAGGAAACATTCAGCTTAAAGTAAAGTTCAGTAGCGACGCCTTACAATGCACATCTATATCTGTAAATGATATCATTGCTTTCAATCCAACTCTTAAAGTTGCATTTGCTTCAGATTCAAATCCACCGACAAATAAATTTGTTCCATGGAATGAACCATTCACTATGATAACGAAGGCAGTAGAAGCTAGTGGAACAGTTACTATTACAACTGTAACCCAGCAACTATTTCGAACAAAGATGGATTTTAATGAATGTTTCATTCATCCAAAGTCATTCTCTTTAGACCCTAACATTTATACAGAACTTGTAGAACATTATACAAACGAGGCTTTATGTTTTCCTGTTAAAGTTATGGATTGGATTCCTATGGACGGTTCATTCTCAAAGAATACAGATAGTTCAAGTGCAACATTTACAGCAGCTTATACGCCTATTAATGTTAAAAGTATTTGGGCACTATTTAGAAAGAAAGACAACTATTATGTTAATTTTGAGAACCCTAAGTTTAAATATCTTCAGCTTTCCATGGGAGCTTATGGAAATATGCCTGCAGAACCTGAAAAATCATATGGACCTGTATTTTATGAAATGGTTGCGAACGCTTGCAATACAAACAATGATATGATAGGATTTAATGAAGATGTTATGAGGTCATTGGTGGATGATGGTAGTGTGGAACATAAATGGGATAGCTATGACAACACACATTTCTTATGTGGTTTTCCAACAGAAGTGGACTTTTGCTTCCAGCAAGGTCAAACATCTACTGCTCCAATAACATACAAATTGTCTGTTAAAGGACCTATTGAACTAGCAACTGAAAATGTACCAAAGCCACTTATTGGATTTATGAGGGATTGTTGCTTTGCCATTCAGGTGCGTGCTAAAGGCATCCCCATAATAAGATTAGATGACTATAACTTAGCCACGGACGACAG